TGGCCAGTGCTACATCTATGCTGATGATACCTCTTTACATTTTAAACTTGATCCAAAAGACCCCACTAATGTTGATGATTCTGTTAAGTCAAGCCTAGAAAGCATTGAACAATGGTCAACTACTTGGAAACTACAGTTTAAACCAGAAAAAAGTCATGAACTGATATTTCATAAACCTAGAACACGTATTAATGATATCAGTCCATCTAATCTTAATAATATGGAAATAGTTAGAGGTGATTCCCATAAACACCTCGGTTTCACGTTTGATCCCTGCTTAACACACAAGCACCATATAAGTAACATCTATGATAACGTAACAAAAATGTTGAATCCATTTAAAAAACTCAAAAACAAAATAGGATCTAGTCATTTGGAGACAATCTTCAACTCCTTCATATTGCCCCATTTCGATTATGGTACCATCATTTACAATAGTTCTTCCAAATATCTACTTCAAAGGCTCGATAGATTATATTATAAAGCTGCTATCTACTGCTCAGGTTGTATTCACGGGAGCAGCACAGATAAAGTACTAACGCTACTTCAATGGCCATCTCTTGACACTAGAAGAAAAGTACATGGTCCTAACCCTAAATTTCTTGATGACATATTTGATAAGTTCAAAAAACCAGAAACTCGAAACCTGCGTAACACTGATGAGTTCATTATACCAAAATGCTCTGAACGGTACAGAAATTCAGCGGTACCCTCTGCAATCTCCAACTGGTTAGCCCTGCCAAATACATTAAAGAGTAAAGCTACTATCCAGAATTTCAAGAAACATCAAAAACTGCTTTTCAAAAATCCAATAAATGTCATCACAACCAGCAAACTGAACCTCACAAGGAGCCATGAGATAATAGTAAATAAATTCAGGGCCGACTTTTTATTTAAGGCCCAACTATATGCTCATAACTTTAGCAATATTGACAACCCTAACTGTTCATGTGGACATCCACAAACAGTTAAACACTTCTTTTTCCACTGTGCTCATTTGACACATGCCAGGGATGAATTTAATCAATACCTGAAAAACCTGATCCCTGAAATTTTTGACAGGCAAATCTCTCAGCATAAATATCTTGAAGTTCTGAAATATGGCTCAACTGAAATCACTATCGAACTTAATTCGAAAATGATGACCAGGCTAGCTTCCTTTATAAAAGCCAATATATGATTTTCCCTCCTTAAACATCTTTTATCTCCAGTAACTGTTTCCCACGCCAAGCACCCCCCCCCCACACACAACCCCAAAACTACTGTTAACATTGCTCCTTATATTATATTTCATTAAGTTCCATCAATTCTTCTATAATGCCATGCATGTATGTGGCGATTGAAGATTTTGTAAATGTTATGTAATGAATGAGGATAATTAATAAATAAATAAAAAAAAATGATCTTGATTGGACATCAGGTTGCAGAGAAATCGTATTTTTACTGAGTGGATTATTGAATTTCATAGATCTAGGGGCCCTCCAGGAATGGAAACCCTTAAATTATCAGAGATTAATGTTTCCAAACTGTTTTTAAACAAACTAACGTCTTGTTTTCAACCTACACCTTGCTCCTTTCTGTCGTATTTAATAAAACAAAAATAGTATATCAGGGAGGGATACGAACCACTCACATGGGACTTGGTATTTCACTAGCGCCATAGGCGTTCTACTATTCTGGATACAACTGACGAGTCGTATTTAAGTGGATACAAAAGTGAGGATCATTTTGAATTGACGCTCGGAATAAATATATAATACTTTTGTTATTTCATATCGCTAGCACGTTGGCCTCATGGTTAGCGTGCCTGGCTTCCACGCTCTAGGTTAGTTGATCGAGACCCGTTCATGTCTAACTTTTTGATTTGCTTGTTGTCAAGATATAATAAGTAGGGCAAAATTCAGAAAAAGTAGATCAAAAATACTCCAATGGAGTATAAAATTGTCACCAGGATTCCGAAATGAGACGAATGTTAACTCGTGAAATTTCGGTAGATAAAGTAGGTCAGAAAATCCGAATTAATCCGAACAACGGTCGGGAATTTTCGTCATAAGAAGTAGATCAAAAATACTCCAATTGGAGTAAAAAAATTGTCACCAGGATTCCGAAATACGACGAATAGAATCGGCAAACTTCGGTACAATAATGAAGAGCATAAAAACCGAAATGATCCGAACAACGTTCGGATAAAATCGTGAAACAGGTGTCAGGGGCTTCCCCTCATCTTTCCCGACATGGTTCTAAAAGCCTTATATGGATCTATCACGTGACATTCAAAATGACGTTCCTATATGGTTCTATGGGCCTTATATGGATCTTTCGAACACGTGACCTAATACCAAATCTAAATCAAAATTATACCTTGACCATTGGATGGGATTTCATAGAAAATATCCAAGAAAACATACTCTCGTGATCCTTAAATCACTTAAAATCGATCATTTTATCTTCATTCCTTGATTGAATTTTATGAAAGAAGTTATGAAAACACATCATCATGTAAGGGTTTTCACCTAAATCAGCTCGTTTTATATTGACCCTTCAATAGAATTTCATTGAACAATGTTTCATGAAAAATATCATCATGTTATGATTTGTATTTAAATAAGACCGTTTCATCTAAATACTTGCTGGATAATATTTCATAAAAAATGCACTTTAAAAATATTTAAGGATTTGCCTTAATTTATCAATGTAATGTCAGTATTAGATTGACTCTCAAATAGGGTCCTATTTTAACTTTTTTATTGAAATTAATACTAGGCAGGACTCACTCTCTAAATAGCTAATAAAAATTCAACCCTTGGATGTGATTTCGTTGAAAAAAATATATGACAAGTCCAGAATCAAATGATTTGTCCAGAACCTCTTAATATCCTGTTATCAATAAACTACAAAAATATCGTTTTTGAAGTCACAAGTAATTATATATGTAAAATGTTCTGTAAGTTATGGTTAAATACACGACCGATGGTTGTATTCTTAACGAATCAAAGGAACACTATACCAACAATAATCCCATCTTTCCATGCCTTCTACACATCGACAGGGTTGGCCAAAAAGCAATACCCAAGTTTAAGGATAAAGGTCGTATGATATAACGTTAAACCATGGCATGTATTATCATTTTAAAAGATAAATCATTTCCTAACAATATGACACCATCTGATTGAAAAACCGCTGTTTTCTATTGGGTTAGAGGCTAAAATTGACACCAGGGGTGTCATGAGCGACCAAAATATTATTCACTGCGGATTTCCAAATTGTGAAAAGTGGAGGGAAATTTGAACGTTGACACCTTCAAAAGAGGTACATTTATACAAATATCGTGCAAAATATCAGCAATAAAACTTGTATATTTTTAATTGAATCAATTTTGTATTAATCTAAGATAAATGTACATTGTATGATGATTCAGTTAAGCATATTGAGTTCAACTGTGACTGCAATATCAGTGGAAAGGATTGATCGATATGTCGAACTGAATTGAACTCATGTTTCTATTAAACAAATCATCAAAAACTTCTGAAAATTTTACACATCGTCGATCAAGTGATTATTTTGAATGGAATTAGTTGAATTTGGAAATATATACACTTTTCTCTATATAGTTTTAGAAAACACACCAAACACTTCATTTGTTCTTGGTAACATATGTTGGGAATGAAACAAAACCTCTATACGAACCTTATTGGAAGAAAACTACATATACATAGCTAGTTTAAGTCTCTCGATATTGTAATTGTACTAAGGAAAGTGTGGTTGATTTCAAAAAGTCATCTCGTCGATGAAATAAAAGCTTTACTTTAATTTATATTTATTTTTTGTAGTTTTTTTTTAGAATGTTTTAAATAATTGGTTTAAGAGAAAAAACAATGTTGAATTTAGTTCGCCATATCGATACCAATCCTTTGGGAATTTTCATTTTTTTGATTTAGATTTGTGGTCGCTCAAGGCACCCCTGGTGTCAATTTTATGTCCAAGAGAAAACAAAGGTTTTTCAATTGGATAGTGTCATTTTGTTAGAAAATGATTCATCTCTAAAATGATATAGCATTGTTTAACATGTATCATATGAATCATTCATCTTTAAACTTGGGTATTGTTTTTTGGCCAACCCTGTATTTAAACGGCAAATTATGTTTAGACCCATTTTGCTGTAGACATGTATGTGATACTAAAAACAATTAAAGTAAAGGACGGGGTACAATAAGGGGCAAATACCCCCATGGTCAAAACGAAATCTATTAGGAGTAAAATAAAGATTACAATGTTAAATTATACTATGGAAAATATTTAAGTGTTTAGACACTGATATTGAGGTCATTAAGTTCAGCAAGGATGTATTGACTTAACATTAAACGAAAATTGTTTGTACAACCGAATTGCTGGTTATTTAGTTCTGAACACTGGATTCTAATTATTCACATGGTCTCCTAAAGGGCACATCTTTTACAGAGTAATGTACTTTTGAGCGTTCCTAATATATGAATGACATTTGCCAATTTTGCGTGCGGCAAAAATTACTACTGTACCATCCAACTTTTGCTTAACCAGCTGATTATTCCAACAGATTTACATGTTAAACCCTTTGTATGTTTGAACTATATTCTCCAAGCCAGAAACGAAAGAAAAACTGATGATACAAATTAACGTACTTTGACTCCATTCTCTATATTTCAGGAAATTTTCAATCTAATCCGTCTGTAACAATAGTTCACAATCGGTCTTTCTTTAGAAAATATAGACTGGTCCTTAACTTTTTTTTGGGATGTCATTGCTTCTAAAATATTGATATAAATTTCTAAAAAGTCGACAAAAATACACTAATTGTCATTGCTTCTTTTTAAATGTTTTAACATACAATATTCAATTTGACCCAGATAGGGTAAATCATACGGAACGTGGCTCACTGCAATGTCATCGTATTGTGATTTTGGCGATGTTCCATTTTGATGGTGAGGAGATATTTATCAGTTATTCAACAGTCTAGCTTATGCAACGACTTGTCTCACCAAACTGCCTATAAAAACTTGATCTCAATACAAGTGCAGTACAGCGGCAAGATTTGTAACCAAAACGGGACTTTCTGTGAGTATTTATATTATATTTATTAACCTAGTGGGTCAAGTGTCTGAGTATAAGCCTTCTAATATCAGTGTTTTTATCAAACTTTAATATACAAACTATACAAAATATAATGTAAGATAACAAATCACAATGTGCAGTTACATGCAGCTTTAGTTATCATAAACGTTTACATTTGGCCGGAGAAATAGACCTAATATTAGAACTAAAAATTTTTGAAATATTTGGGTCTAGGATGTTTTGAAATAGGATGTAAAGCAAGTAATATAGTGGTGTTTTATGTAAATATTATGTTTTCATATAGGCTATTATAGGCCAATAATCTGATTAGTAGTTGCCGGTACAAAACACGTCATTCATCTCTGCTTTTCAATACTAAATAATGTTTTATCAAGTTTTAAAAGGATTAATTTTAAAGCATTCCTAACATACAAAAATATTGTGTTGATCTCATAATAAATTTTCGTTACAATTAGTGCTTTTCAATAAATGGTCAAACCTTTTTAAGATACAGGGTGACCGAAAAACGGAGACAGTTGAAATAGGCATCTTCTAGAAAAGTTAACTGACCGATCTTTGAGTACACCAGAGGACAGTTATATGAACGTTCTTGAACGTTTCAATACTGGTTTAATAGTTATCATCATCACAGTACATATTCCAAGTGGCACCATTTAGGCAAAGGCAACGCTTTATTGTCATTCTATTGTCTGGCAAATTTGTCCTCACACATTCAGCCCTTGTTATGGCTTACACACGCGGATCAAGGATTTTGTGCTAGAGGGGGCCTTATTAATCCTAAAAAATGTGCAATGAATGAATAATTAATGTCGAGCTTTCGATCTCTGTTGTCAAAGTGTTGAGATAGTAAGCTAAGTATGTCATTTTATGTATGGGGAGTGACACAAAGCCGGTTGATATTTTTTGCAGTTATTGGAGATTTATTTCGACCTAAATACGTTTCACAATCTCTATATTTTCGGTTGAGTCTGTTAAGTCTCGCATGAGTCCCAAATGTTTTATCCAACGTGAATATGACACATTTTCTTGGATAATCATGACATCTGAATTGCCGGTGTACTTTTTATTCGGTTCTATATATCTATCTGTTTGTCATATAGCGTCAGAAATTAATGTCTGATTATAGCAGCAAGGTTGGTCGATTTGAAGGCAAAATTAATGGTACTTTACGGTATTTTTGGAGGTATTATATTTATAAATAATATGTTATATATAATAGTTTATTTGTACATGTTGCTAGCAATTTCGCCATCCCTTCAGAGTTTATTTTGCCTTTAACTGGGATTGACATACGGTTTCGAAATAACCAACTATGCCCTGATCAAGTACAGCATAAGCAGTGATTTAGAGTAAACATACATTTCATATTTCAATTTTAATTTCATGCCAAAAAGTTAAATGCGACATTCCTAAAATATAGAAAATTGTCAATCACCGAATTATATGCAGGTTGATTAGACAGGGGTCAAAATGTGAGAATGGCCATTTGGCTTCAAAACCATTATACATAACTGTTAATAATAATATTGTTGAGATGGCCAAATAAATTAGATCGTTAATAAAGAAAAAGCATTGCGTCTAAAATCCGGGTCATCAAACATTTTTTCAAAATCTTGCAGTTTACAGCCATTTTGGACACATTTCTAATGATTTTGCCCCCCCCCCTGGCAAAACTGGCCATGGGCCTGATTCGCAGCGATTATATATTTTTATGCAATTTAAGAGGTAATATGGGAATAGCGTTATAGTTATTAAGGAGTAAAACAGGGTTTTGTGAACACGGAACATATATCCGATTACACCTATATGCTTCGAAGGATATAAGCTTTTTTAAATCGAATTCATAATAGGTATAACATGTTAGATGACATCGTGTCTTAGACCCTGTCGATTCTGTAATGCTATATAGCTAGTGAAAACAGAAGATGAAACAAAAGAAGCATTATACGAAGGAGCTACTGATACTAAAACTGCAAACGTCTAAAATAGAAAGCAATTGTATCATATTGCGGTGTCCAAATATCAGAAATCATTAACACATTCGTTACAGTTGAAACTCAATATAATAATAACTGTACTGACTAAACCGCGACGGTATCACGAGATGTCAAAAAATACTGCTGAATAAAAAAGTATAGTTTATTATTACAATCTTCTTTATAAGCGAAGAAATATAATACAATTTAATGCAATGCATTACAATATAATACAATAAAATACAGTACAATACAATACAATACAATACAATGCAATACAATACAACATAATGCAATGCATAAAGCGCTAATACGATGGAATACTTATTGCTTTTCCAGATTTGCGGTAATTCATAGCTGACGGAGTTATTGAAAGATGGACTTCTTAAGGGCAGTTGTAATTCTGTTGGTTATGCCCATTTTGACCACTGCTTTAGGTAAAACTAAAACAAGAAATAGATTGTATTAAACAAAAATCATTACACTATTCTAGAAAGTGTGTTTTATATGAGCTAATAAAATATAACTGCAGTTCCTGCATGGTTGTAGTTTGAAGGTAATATATTCATATTTTATTATTTCTAATCGATTGTTTTTTGTAACAGTCGTAAAGACAGCACCACCTCAATCTACAACGACTGGACAAACAGCAAGTTCAACACCTCCCCCGTTTACAACAGCACAACCAGGTACAGCAAACTGATCAAATAAAATTATGTGATCTTTGAATAGTTTGGATTAGTTTTTTGTAGATACTAAATTAATGAAAAATAGACACAATATACCACTGATTCTCAATGTGTCCCCATTTTAAAGATTATTGTATACTATTTTTAAACTCAATCTCTAAAGTATCTGAGTACATGTACTCTGTTTTTCGCTTTATCAATTGAACAGAAAATTGTTTGGATTTTGGGAGATGGAGCAATGATTGGAGGACACGATTTTTATTCTAAAGGATAGGTATCGATATGGTGAACTGAATTCAACTATCTTTTTCTCTTACACCAATTATTGAAAACATTTTATAAAAACACGGTCCTTTATGTTATGTTGACTGATTGGCAACAATTTAATGCAAACATTATTTATATTTATTTTTTATAACTGTTTTGTTAACATTTTTTGTTTTTAGTGCAATTGTTTTTTGATCCTTGATAATTGAGAATGAAATGATATAGCCTATACACCATTTTCTTAGACCTCTCAATATTATAGTAATGTTATACAAAGTAAATTTTGGTTGATTTAACAAAAAATATGAAAAAACTTAAAACAAACCCCCCAAAATATATACAAATTAAGATAAACCTTTTATTTCATTAACAAGATACTTTTTAGAATCAAACAAACTTTCCTTTGTATAATTGCAATATTGAGAGACCTAAACACGTTTATATGTTGATGTCGTTTTGTTCCAATGAGGTTCGGATAGATGTTTCATTTCATTCCGAATATGTGATACCAAGAACAAAAGAAGTGGCTGATGTGTTTTCTAAAACAATATATATATTTCAAATTATAATGTTAATATTCAAAAGATGACCATTAAATTGGCGATGTGTACGGTTTTCAGAATGTTTTGATGACTGGTTTAAGAGAAACGCGTGTTCAAAATGTTCACCATATCAATACCACTCCTTTGACAAAGTGTCGAAGCATTTTTTAAAACAGATTTATAGACATTACTTTTAACTATAGTTGTGACCATTTAATGGATGGTTTACCTAGATGTACTTAATTTTAGTGTGCCACTTATGTTAAAGTGCAATTCCAAATCAATCAAAAAATAAAATAAATAGTCTAATTACTATATTATTGGTATCGAATACCGACTTGATAAACAATGGTTAACTAGTATTATTGTCAAACGAATTATCAAATATGTAATCTATAAGAACTTTGGATTGTAGATTTTCCTTGCAATACGGGTGTTTCCATTCCCTGGAATGATGGTTACCAATGCATTTGTCCGCCCAACAAACGAGGCGAAAACTGCAGTGAAGGTAAGGTATCATAAAGAGTAATAATCCCAAGTATTTTATATCTTGGAAATATAAAAACATTCCGTTAAGCACTGATTTTGCTAATTGCTACTTTTATTTTTCAGATGTTCCAAATAATGATAATTGCACATGGCCTGGAAATGGTAAGTCATATAAAACATAACGGACTATGTAAAATCGTAATAAGATCATAATGTGTATTAACCCTAATGTGGACAGAAGGGGGGGGGGGTCGGAACCGGTGTAAAAGGGTAGGCGGTCCTATCAAATTTTGGTCCTACTCTCTATTGATTTACATGGTGACCTAATTACAAATATTTTCCTTATTATTTATACACAGTCAGGGCCAGTAAGGGCCGTAAGGAAAGGGGACCATAATCCCCAGGGGACCATAATTTCTTTTACACCGGCACACTTCTGCCATGAAAATATTTTTCTGTAATCTTAATACCGATAGATAAAATACCACATTTGGTGCAGAAATTGAAGAGATCGGGGGCCATAGCGGCTAAGTTAGGATTGTGAATGCGTGTAAACTTGGGGACTTCACTTATCTCCATGTTTTATTGACAGAGATACATTGTTTCAATACATGTTTTTTTAAATTGAAAACCTCTATGTTTATTTGACCTACTTTTTGAGATTTTGATACACTTTCATCAAGAGTTTTGAATGACATGATAATACGGTGCCTAGTTTTCTGTACCTCTTCAACTCTGGAAACGCCAAGGGCGGGGGGGGGTTATCTGACCCATCTCTGCCGCTGGTGTTATTAAAAATACACTGCCCACATTATGGTTTAGTATTTTATGTACACACTTTTATTAATTCGCTGTCGCTGTTATTGCCTGTCAACGAAGTGAGACAAAACACTCTCTTCAAAATATATGAGGCAGATTGTTGAATTGTAGATGTAATGTTTGTATTTCGTTTCTCATTGGTTTCATTCTTCTCTAATTTCAGTGTTAGTCTGTTTGAGCGTCCTTAGCGTTCGTAGCTACGTCACCGAATTGAGAGATATGTTGGTATTGGAAATAATCTTAAACATTTGAATATTCATTTTCTGAACGTAGATAAAATGCAATGTTTTACAGATAACGCATGTTCCTCATCACCCTGTCATGGGGAAGGCGCCTTGTGTATCAACACATTTGGCGGAGATTACAAATGCTTATGCCCACCAGGGACTAACGGTCGCCGTTGTGGTCGAGGTAAGAAACAGCTTACATGACCCTTGTAGTGTAGTCATGTTAACGATATTAGTGCAAAGGATTTTATTTATTACTCGCCTTTTGATTGTAGCCGAGACAGAATAAGTCAGTCCTCTCTTTTTCAAAATAATTTTATCAGTTCTAAATAACTATTTCATAATTATTTAGAAGAAAAACGTCAAGTCAATTGAATGTTTTTCTAAAATACACCTAATTCTGTTGAGCTACTAAGCAATTTTTCTCATAATTTCTCACTAATTTTGCGTTTTTTTTGTCTAAAACAGTTCGTTCAATCGCCCACCCAAAAATATTTATTCAAAAAGCATAGAGCCACGCCCAGAAAGCCAAACCAATTTTTTTTATTGAACATATTTATAACTATTTAATCACGTTAAACATCTTATGGAAGCAAGAAGTAGCATTCAAAACCAAAGACGAGAACTATAACTAGATATGTAAAGTTGAAAATACCAAAATGACCACTGAACAATGTTCAATTGTGCTCAATATAATTACATGCCTGGTTTCAATGACTGATGAGTTAACATAAGCTTGAGGTTTTCGTGGGCTCATCAACTCAATATAGAAAGTGTACGAGGGGCGGCAAAACCCAGAGATACCCCAACGACTTTCCATTGGTTTTTCTAGTAATCACTATGCCTGATATTTCATTATAGGGGAAACATGCTTTCCTTGCTCAAGTAAAAGGTGGAGGAATGTCACGTGTCCTGTGTTCGAAAAAAAGCCATTCTTGGCATCGATGTCTATTGAAGACGTAACACTCAAGACCCAGTTATCAAGGTACGATCAATATGTCACAATATAATTACAAGTATTAGTTCAACAGGATAACCTATAACATTTGTGTCAGATTAGGATTTTATCATTTCATGTTCTAGGCCATCAAAATTTAGGTTATCGGTATCAGGTTAGGGTAATAATCACCATAGTGATTTTTGGGAAGGTTAAGACCTCTAGTGTAAGAAAATATGTGGTAGCATTGCAACAGTGGTAGCTAAGTGGGTGTTATCACCCATTTTTCAAAATAGGCGCCGTTGCACGAGATACTATATACACTCCCCTCCATGAGTTTGGCAACCTTTTCCCCCCATTGAACTACGCGTTAAAGCCTCTTTACCTTTGAATTTTTATTTACTTAACCTGCGATGAAAATACTTATATTATTGATGGAAACGTAATTTGACTTTATTTCCAATACCTCCAAATTTTCTCAATTTTTTTCCTTAATTACAATAGTCGAAAATTGATGATTTTGATGAATTTTTGAAAATCGACATTCCCATGTTAACCAATCGTCTATCTTTATTTAGAATCGCTGAATGCATGACACTCTAAACTCGCGTGATAAAATACAGCATTTTGATTGGTTACTACTCGTGTTACCATGCCGCGAAAAGCAGTAGTAAACAGTCTGAACATGTTAATGAACTGCCATATATGGAACATTTGTTTCTCCGATTGGTTAACCTGAATGAATATAATAGTCGAACGATTCATTGATAAATATCGGAAGTGGGCGTGACCAGCTTTATTTGGACACCATGTTAAATATGTTTCAAATTAAAATGGCCTTGCAAGACGAGTTAACACCAATATTACAAAGTACAAACACATATCTATTTTTTCATTATATATTTATTTCTTCATTATACATACATTTGTTTTAAACTACATTGATGTATTTTGGGGATATATTTGCTATTAGATCTTTAAAGCAATACTTACATATTCATTTTGGCACCCATTTTGGTAGCCATCTTGGATTTATATGAAAAATAATAATTTGACGACTCAGATTTAAACATAAATGAAATCATTCATTGACCCCTAAAATGCAGACATGGGCTCAAAAAACACTATTTTTAGTGTTTTTGAACTTAAATCAATAGTTACATACTCGTTTTGGCACTCATTTTGACGGCCACCTTGGATTCCTGTAAAAAGTAATTGTTTGGTGACTTAGATTTAGACATAAAGACATAAATGAAATTCTAGACTCCTTAAATCCTAGTCCTGAAATCACAGTTTTTGCATTTCAGTCTGCTTGGATAAACCCGCTCTTATATTGCAACAGCGGCAATTTTGAAAAACCATTTAGTTACCCATTTAGTTACCACTGTTGCAATACTATCACATATTTTCTCACTCTAGAGGTCTTAACCTTCCCAAAATCACTATGGTGATTATTCCCCTAACTTGATACCGACCAACCCCCCAGGCAGGTGGCCTATTTATGTTTCAACATACATACATCTGTCCAAATAAAATGTAATGTAATTGATTTTAAAGGGGAGAGACAATACATGACTCTTAGTTCGATATTTGTTTCAGGACAAAATGCATAAAGAATGATCAATGGGGTTTTGATTATGAGACAGGGACCATGTGGGTAGCTAAAGGTTGCAGAGCCGAGTTTTGTGTACACTTTAAAGAATTGGAATCAACAACTACACCAGGTTCAACAAGTCCATCAAATCCACCAGGTATAAAAACTCTCATATGCACATTTTTCTATTACATTTTTACGTGTTTTCCATCACCGACTTTGCATTCTGCACTTTAATGATCTTATAGCTTTTTACCATCTATACTGCACGGAATTTAACGTTTCAGTTTTTAGGTGTGTTTTTAATTACTTCTTGCTCAAAATGTGTATATTCTCTAACCAAAAGGTTGTTCATTTTTATTTTGAGATTATAAATGTTCAGTAGTGACCTCTATGAATCAATAAATATTAATTTATATTATATAATAGCATGCACATGTTTTTTATTTATTTTTTGTTTGATTGTTGATATATAATCAAGATAAACTTCAATTCAAAAGCTATGACAATCATTTAAACACTATATATTATGTTATATACTGTAACCTCACCGAATTATGTTAAATAGTTAAAGTTTTGAATTGTCACCGTACTGTCGATCGAAAGACAATACCTCTGTATTTTTCAACTTGAATCAGGTGCAATCAAATTCCATGACATATTCAGTCACATGATTTAATATTTCTAAATTGTATTCACTTAATAACTTGCCACAAGCTTAAATGTATATGAAACGACACAGTTTCATTTACAAAGACAGAATATTATTCCATTGAGCTTGCATCTTCTAATAAACAATTGTGCACCTATTTAAGTATATATCTATCTATAAATATATCGGGTGTGCCAAAAATGAGACGATTTTTGGTATTCTCTCGGCAACTGATGAACCACATTCACTGAAAAGTTGTATGCAGTAACCTAAGAGTTTCATAAGAAAATTGTTAAAACACAAAAAAGATATAGAGATATTCTGTAAGTACTAAGCAATTCAAAAAAGAATGCCAAAAATTCCCATCCAGGAGCTATGCGATGAGATCTCTATGGTGTTTGTATCAGCTATCATATGATAATATATGTCAATCAGTCAATTATATCTTGTTTGTGTGCCATATCTAATCATTTCATTCTTCCCAAATACCCCAAAGCCATTCATTCTCAAAATTCCTTTACCCCCTATCACACCAAACTAGTTCTTACCCGTTCTTGCCAGTCCTATGAAAAAGTCGTAAAACGGACTCAGTCTGGCTGTGGTCGGGTAATATGTCTAAAATAATGAGCTACTTCGTTAATAAACAGTCTTCAATACGTCCATCTCATTCGCAGTTCGTTCAGGTCGCACCTGGTCGGTGTGCAACGTCGTATAACGCGTCCCTTAGTCTAGAAGGTCATCATGACCTGATTACAGAACGGAATGGTCGCCATCCATTCAAAATTCTAAAATCACCTTCCCGTCTGTGAACGTTCATGAAGTTCGTAAATAGACATAGAAAGTTGCAGCTACGTTCATTCCGTCCGCACACAGTTTAAAACCAGTTTTGAAGAACGCAGTGGCAACTTGTTTGGTGTGATAGCTATATTTTTGCTAACTCGTTCATAAGCAGTCTTAAATACGTTCTTAATCAGTTTAAACCCGTTTGCAATTAGTTCTACCTCGTTCTCATTATGTCCTCAGACAATTCAACTCGTTGTTAAAACGTCCCTAGTAGGATTGAAGTACGACGGTTCCGTTCGTAGTACGTCCAGCTCGTCGTTAGTACGTTGTCACTCGTTCTAATTGTAGAACGTATCGACCACGAGAACATTTTGAGCATGTTCTAAGTTCTAGGGGACCTACCCGTTCGAGTACGTTCGATGAAGTTTGTAAATAGACCCCAAACGGTTCTAGGTACGTCCAGTCCGTTCGTACACAGTTGAAGCCCGTTTTCGAGAACGTAGTGAAAACTAGTTTGGTGGAAAGTAGGGTTAAGGTGATATTGTTAGAATCAATAAGGAAAAGTATTTTTGCTTGTAAGTGAATTCTATATTGATATAAGTTATTTTGACAAATCAATTCAAAAGTATACACACAAAATAAGACCAATCTCTTCTCTATCCATAACAATAGAATTTTGCTTATCTACTGCTGAGAAATTACTTTACACATTGCTTCCCATTTTTGGGCACAGCATGACGTTCTCATTGCGTCACTCCGGTATCTTTTTACATGCTATCTTGAATTTCTTAGTTGAGTAACATAACATTTACTTGATCTTTTTCATACTTTTGGAGCTTGTGAACGATACTCTTGGGCTACTTTGTAGAAATTTTCATAAATTAAAAAAAAAGATGCATATCTTATAAATGAATAAAAAAGAAGCCCGTGCGTCTCAAAATCACAACCTCATGTTTATGACGTTCTGGCACTCTAGACCATGGACCTTTGCCAGATTCCTCCTGTTGGTCCCTAGCATTAATGATATTATTCATTACTCAATGATATTACTTCATTGAGCCTATTACCAATAGGGACTGTGGACTGTGGATCTGACTTGGGTCTGTGCCCTAGACCGCTCAGCTACATGTAACCACAAAAATTGTTTCATCAGCTAATTATATAATATTCTCAGTACTGTAATTAGACTCAAGAAACTTTGTTGAATCATTTTAGAAATGAAGAATACATTTATAAAAGATAAACTAAATAGGAATAATATATTAACTTAACTTACACCAGGAACATCAGCTACTCCGGCAACATCAGCTGCACCAGGAACATCAGCTGCACCGAGTACACCAGCTGCACCAGTAACAACAGCTGCACCAGGAACATCAGCGGCACCGAGTACATCAGCTGCACCAGTTACATCAGCTGCACCAGTAACATCAGCTGCACCAGTTACATCAGCTGCACCAGTAACATCAGCTGTACCAGTAACATCAGCTGCACCAGTTACATCAGTTTCACCAGGAACATCAGCTGCACCAGTTACATCAGCTGTACCAGTAACATCAGCTGCACCAGTAACATCAGCTGCACCAGTTACATCAGCTGCACCAGTAACATCAGCTGCACCAGGAACATCAGCTACACCGAGTACATCGACAACACCAGGTAATTTTAGATAAGAGTTTCTTTTATAGCTTGTTACATAAAGGACACATATGCTTAATGTTTAATTATTCTCTTGGCATAACTTTTCGTTGTTTGCGAGATTGTGCCATTTTACTGCATTTATACTTATAAAGTCAATTTCAATTTTGTTTTTGTAAAGTTAGATCAAGTAATACATTTTAAACCCTTTATGTAAATCAGATAGTTCAACGTTTTTAAACGTTATTCTGGTAAAAAATCTGTTTCTAGTCTTTCTCATCATTCAAGAGGATAATCTCAAACAGAAGCTTTTTAACAATTATGAAATGATTTAAATGATTAAGAGATTTCTTCAGTTTTTTTTAACTTCACCAGTTCAAACTCTACAACCTCCTGATATCCCCTTACATGTATTATGTATTGTAAAAAGGCACAAGTAAAATACCATCTCATTATAAAATAAAAATGATATTCCTCAAAATCATAGGATATCCTATAAATAGAATATCAATTAGTAGGATATCAAGTAGTTGTCAGGATGGCCCTGAATTCGAAAATGCCACCATTTTTCGAAGAGATATCTTTGTAAAATGAAAATAATCATAATTTGACAACGAAGGTCTAAACAGTTGGATTGGCTACTCCGTGCAGTTGCTATTTTTCTAGTTTCACTTTAGGAGGGCCAGGTAGGTCAAAATTGAATATTGCACTATTCCCACTTTCGAAACTAATTGTATTGGCTCTATTTAACGTCATTTTATTTCAGCAGAGTGTGAGGACAAAGATCGCCAATGCTCTGGTTGGGGAAGCTTTTGTTTAACCAATGACTTTGTTAGAACAAATTGCCTTAAAACCTGCAACACCTGCCCTGGTAAGATAACAATATACTACCTATAAATAGTCCATGGTATGAAATGTCTAGAACTATATGTTGCAGCAATATTTGAACAAACGTTTAATACCTTCCTTTTTATACATAAATTGATTCATTTAGTTAACAATAATACACATAAGTCGTGACCATTTAAAAAGAGAATGAACCGTTTAGTCCCTTTCTGTAAACCCAAAAACGAAAAAACAGCAGTGTAATTCATATATTAGAACCGTCAATATTTTATTATCGTATTTCATTTACAATATTTTTACACAGTATATTCATATCTCACCGAAACAGATGAAGTTTAAATAATTTTATTAACACATATTCATGAGAATGTCTAGTAAAAATGCGTTTCTTTTTATCATATAGAATTTTCTATGTAGCTTTTAACTAGATTTACAAATACACTATCCCCAGATAGAAATTTCTATACAAAAGATTCCGTTGGCTTTGCGTATAGAATTTCCTATGCGGATGACGCTGGAAATATTAATTTTGTTATTGATAAACATTTGGTTAGCGGTATAGAAATTTCTATGTGAAGGCCAACGGAAAATTCTAATTCTGTTACTGGTAAAATATTTCTCCTTGTATAGAAATTTCTATATGGATATATTTCTATACGGTATAGAAATTTCTATGTGAAGGCCAATGAAAAATACTAATTCTGTTACTGGTAAAACATTTCTCCTTGTATAGAAATTTCTATATGGATAATGGCAAAAATAAAAATTGAAACGCTTCATAGAAATTTCTATGTGGGTGCATATTTAAATTATGGTTGCTGGTATAGAAATTTCTATATAAGGATAGAGTAGAAAAATAAAAAACGAAACACTGTATAGAAAGCTGTATAGAAGGTCAAAAAATAAAAATCGAATGTCTGTATAGAGATGTGTATTCGAAAACCTTTGGTACTCAAAAATTAAAATGGAATACATCATATATAGAATGTTTGTCATGCATCTTAAATTTTCGGCCTATTGTAATTATTTGGAGGTATAGCCAATGAAGTCAAATTACATCACCACCAGAAAAATTACTGATTTTCAGGTGTTTTTTTATCGCTGACGGTTACGAAAATCAATGATAAATTTGCATTACATTCTATAACAACAACTCTCCACTATACAAGTATAATCCACCCCCTAGGTCATATAAGATTCAATTAAAATCGGCTTGAATTAGTATTTTTCAAAATTGTACGGGCATCGACAACACTAAGTCGATTTTTAGACATTGTATGGGCGCTTGGAGAATTTTACCGCACACATAAAAGTTGCAGATGTTTAACCGTTTTTCTCAATTCAACTAATCAGAGCCTAACCTGCCGGCGCCCGTATGGTCACCGAACGATTATCGTACGTACGGCTATCTGTGACATCGTACGATCATGTGTGATTTCGCACAATATTGCAAACGTAATTATAAAATAAAACTTGACGTTAATACCGGGCGCTAATATACAATTGGCCTGTCTTGTTCCTTACCCCGGGGCCACCATGGGAGCATATCTGGTCAAATATTCCCGATCCCCGGCCCCTTCCCCCGAATCGACTATATGTAAACATCAAAATTACTTGTCAAGAGGCTAAACTCATGAATGTTGAGAGATACAGATGCAGTACTTTGCTTCGATTTTCACTACGGCGCTCGGCCGATTGAGTATGTCGCTAAAAATGTATTCATTTTATAAGAAACTACTCAATCGACCGGGCGCCGGTGTAAAAGGGTAGGAGGTCCTATTAATTTATAGTCCTACTCTCCATTGATTAATATGATGACCTCTTTCCTTTATTATCTTATACACAATCAGGGCCAGTAAGAGCCTTTAAAAAGGGGGACCATAATCCCTAGGGACCATAATTTCTTTCACACCGGGACGAACTTCCTTGTCAAATTCCTATCCCTGGGGCCAATATTGTGTATTAAGTTCATTTACAAACATTTCCAGATGTTATCATATCGCCCAATAAAGATCTTAACATTTCTAAGTTACATATTGTGGGTAAAGGCACACGTTGCCTTATTTCCCGTACTCCCGTACTGAGTAAGGGCAATCTACAACTGATTCGGTTCGGTCCTGTAACTGATTCGGTTCGTTTCCACGCATGCACAAAATAAAAGATGTTTCCCATGATACCTGTCGATTAGAACACTCTTCCATTAGTCCGACATTAGGCATCATCATCATTGCTATGAACTATTTAGTATGAATAAGGAACATCCGTACCATGATCCTGGGCAGTTGCTTTAAATCTACACCATGACACGTCTGAAATAATTACTGGTCATATTTATTTGATGAATATTAAAGTATGATCATTGACTGCTGCGGCCAATATGGAAAAGATAAATGTATGGGCGAAACATATGTAAATGAAAGAAATTTACTTTTCATAGAGGGGCAAAAAGGCCCAAATTCGAAACATAATGCCCCCTGGGTAAATTCTATCTTGATTTTCAAATGACCACTGCCCATGCACCATATAAGATCGGCCACTGAATTACATTTGAAATGCGTAGAAAATATGCGCAGAGAACCGAATCAAAGAACCGGATCAGTTGTAGATTGTCCTTAGTGCTCAGTACTCTATCCAATTTAAATTTTGCGAGATGACTTACATGGCCTATATACACATTCTTCTATTTTGACTATTGCCATTAGAGATGGCCTGATCTTACTTTTCGATTTTACTTCACTTAGATTTTAGTTCACTTATTAGAGCTTTTGTATCGTACATTTTCTCGTCTATCAAACGTCGTTCAAAATAGTTCTAGATCTCTGTCACGATCTCATCAATATGTTAGAGCAAACATGTCAGGACTTATGGGACAACCCACGTATTTATGTAGATATAAACTTTCCACAATCGCCATATATCAGCATATGATCTTAAAAATGTCAGGTCCCATAGGCTGGTATAAGTGTTCGAAGGAAGTTTTCATTTGCCTCTGTAGTGTCATATTCTTCGTCCAATAATCCAATAATATTTGTCTTCTGGAAATGTTAATCATGAGTACCACGTGTGTGTATCTGCAGACCCCCATCCCCTGTGTGGTATTTAGATATTCCAAGATGAGCGCGCGTTTGTGTTTTCTCTTTCGTCATCGAAGATATCTTTTGAAACTGAAACGTTAATGAATGCAATCTATAAAATAAAGTATAAAAAGTTCAGGATTTATTAACATAGCGAGGACAGAATATTGCGCCTTTCGTTTTAAACTACATTCTTATAAAATCTGTTATAGCACAAACCTTGTATAATGTTTTTGGATACTAAATACATGTACAAAATATCATGACGCAGCTTATTATTGTATTTTTATTCAATTAAAACCTACCTCGTATGCTCATGGTTTGGGTTTACACCTGTCGACCAGTCAATCCACCAAGCAGCAACCGCAAATCGCACTATACAATCTCACCTTTCGTTTCACATTCGCATGTGACTCTTAATGACAACTCGTAATGGGCACTGCTGGTATTTTGAATTCTTACCTAATATACATCGCTGATTGTGCAACGATGAAATGGTAAAATACTAAATTATGTTTGTTGTCTTTAGATTCCAAGTTGGTTATAATGACTATTCGAGATATAAATTTGAACTAACTGTGGACGTTATACGCAGCATTACATTGCAATGGTCGGTCAACTGGTGTAGGAGTCAGATCAATATGAGTAGATTTAGGCTTGCGGTTTGTTAACATACAATGTTACGCATTTCTTAATCTGTTAATATAGAAAAGCGCATTTCAATATTGTTTGATTTATGTATAAGGAGGTCCTCCCCTTATCTTCCTGGATTCACTGAACCTAGAAATGTATTTAGTGTTTAAATCATCCTTCTTCAGAGGACATTTATGCTTAAATTCATATATACTTGTATAATACCCTTGCAGCAAGGATGGTTTAAATGTACAGTAAGCTTATTTATTGACAGATTCGATGACTTTATCTGCTGACTTTATTTATGTAGATGCATTGTTAAGACCCCAATATATTTACATCAACACATCTTAAATACACCAGGGTAAGATCATTCATATGTCAGAGTAAAAAGATAATTTAGTCAAGAGTCATCCTTCTAGGGTCAATATCTCAACAAGTCAACAGCGGATAATATAAAGTGTAGGTTAAGGTTTAAAATATGTTAAGGGTCACGAATTATTCGTGGGCCATTTGGCTATAAGGCCAGTTCATATCATTAACCGGCCTTTAAAAGCCTTGTTCTAATTTTCAGGCCACTTGATTTTCGACCAATGAGACTAAACATTTGGAGTATAGGAGCCTTACATTTTTTCGTAAGATTATTTTTAAGTAGAGTAAACCCCCTCCCATTGCCAAAAGCTGGCTACGGGCATTCACCCCCTCGCTGTACTTGTGTTTTGTGCATATGGGAAATTTATATCATCATTACTCACAATATTATTAGTCATTTCAATGTTGATTGTCAGTGGTACAGACTATAGAAAATATTTGAATAAAAATAGCAAGAATATTGTAACGATGATCTCAAAACTAAAAATTACACATTTTAGATGACTTATCTTTGAAATATAAGGGACGCATACGCACTAGTTTAAACTTAAACTGTACATGGTGTTGAAATGTGTAACTGCATCTTTTGTTATCAAATCTATCTGAATACACTCGTATAGATCAAATAAGATAGAGTCACGCCAAAATTGAGCAACGGTTAAATAACGAGTACAATAATTGTGGACTAAAGTGGTGAGGTCAATGAAAATGAGTAGGGAAGCGCAATGGCATACAATATGCACCTCTACAGATATAGGAAAGGGTTCCGTGTTTCCCTTACCAAAAATTTCCAGATCGGTTCACATTTAACTTTCCCAAGTGCTTAGAACACGGGTTAGAACAGTGAAAACTGCATGATTTTGAAAGGATGTATGACCGAAGCTATGTGCCTGATACCCGGGGCCTGATATTATTTCCGATATAATCAGATAACACAAGAGGCAAA